TATATATATATATTGTTTTTCAAAACCAGTATTTCTCTATCTTTTACTAGTAGTCTATTAATAATGTGGCATGGTTTCGTTCTAATGCAAATTTGTTGTTCGTAAATCGTACCCCCAAATTAACATGCTCGATCACACTCATATCAAGGCTTAGTCAAAGACTTGGTTCAAACCGGTGGGTCCAGAAATGAGAATATATAAAATTGTAATTTTGTTTTCAAGTAAGTCATGGGAAGATATCAAAGTATCAAACAGTCAACGGATCAATGGATGGCCTGCATGGTTTAAGGAAAGTCATTGGTAGTTTCTTTCCTAAATATCTTTCAAGTGTTCCATCAGATTGTTAACTTCTTTGACACGTACATACACAATGAACGTACGATGAAAGTTTACCAATTAGTGGTGTATGCAAAACATCATGAATGTTTGAATATTTCTTAAAGTCATAATTCATAGCATTCGAAAAAACATACAGTACCTTCGTTTGCACCCGCTTTGATGGATCGCATACCACCATTCCCTATCCCTTGGAGGAACATAATCATAGATCCGGAAGTACTATACAATTCTGATGAATTTTGGCAACATCTTGTGTTCTGCGAAAATAGTACAGCAGAATCCCTGTCTTCCTTGTGGATTACACTATACAAGTTTGATCACCAAAACCGGTACAGCAAACCTATGCCATGGATTGGGATTTATATCGCATTAGCATCTCTGTTTTGCATCCTTGCAATGGTGGCTGATTTATTACATGGTTTCAGGAACCGAAAACTATGGTTTCCATGTAAATATTTCACTCTAAATGCTGCCTCTCTCACAGTGATAGCTGTTGCTGTAAAGCTGCCCATGGATCTAACTAATCTAATGCCGGGTTATGTGGACCAGGCTGCAAAGCTCGGAAGCCTTGGCTTTATGTGCACAATGATGGCTAATATATTGCCTTCTTTAGCAACCATGGACAGCAAGGAACTTGTCACAAACATCATAGCTTTAGGTGTTTTGGTAATCACCTTGGTTGTGAATGTTTGTATTCAAATAAACACGGGAAGTCTCACTTATCATGTAGATGAGACTGGGTCCTTTCTGGCTTTTGATAATGCATTTGTAACAGCCCATGGCTTCATACCAATCGTTTATGTTGGCGTGTTACTCATGTTGCTGATGATATATGCATGTTCATCCTTAGCAATTCTAAAGTCCAAACAGATTCTAGAATCAAAATACCAAGCAGCTCATCAAGAGATGGAAGAACCACAGAGATTAACTGTTGAGAAGCTAAAGCAGCATGTGAGAAACTATTGGATCATGGCAGGAACTGGAAGCCCCCAATTCATGACAGCTTGCTCTGCTACAACCTCAGCTTCCGGGGTAATATGTGCTTTAAGCACTGTTTTGCACATTCATATTTTGCTTTCCAATATCAGATCTCTAAGGGACTATAAGTCAGATTATAAGTGGTCAATGGTAGTAATTCTCATAATACAGTTTATCGGAACCATAATGGGTACAATTGCCCCACTTGCTAGATGTTTTGCAACCTTAAGCTATAAGCTGTCCATAAAATGGATTTGGAACCATATCAAAGTCTCTAAAGTAGAAAGCTACTGGACTCAAAAGTTATCTGAGTGGAAACAAAGTAACATACCATTCCCATCAAGTAGCCGCAAATGTAAGATTGTCATCCAGAATTTAAAAATCCTAATTCTCAGCATTTGTATAGGATTTCAGAAGGCAGTTGTGGTAGCGTGCAAGATGATAGCGGTGATTCCAATTTTATCTGTGATATGTACCTTGTACTGTTTCCATCGTTGGAAGTGGGTTAGAGCCATGTTTAGCGACTCTGGTATAGTAGAATTGGTTCCAGATCCTCAGCAACTAGCAGGAAAAGATAAGGATCTTAGCCGGTATGTTTTGCAACTTCAAGATGACATGGAGTTTGCTGGGAGAACATTGAAAAGCATATCAAAGTCACTCAATTGCTTGATCCAAAAAGCCAAAAAACAACAACCCAACAATCTTATGAAGCTTCTAACAGGATCTACAAGTTTTCCAGGAGTTGAAACGTTTGATTGCGTTCCACCTTTGCTTTCAGAAGAATATCTCGGCTGTTGGAGCTTGCCGATAGTAACTCTGACAACTATCGCCATGTCTCTTCCTAAAATCCAAAACAACATGGTTGATTGCTTGCTGAGTAGTGTGAGTGAAGGTCTTGTATATGTCACACTTGTGGAAGAAAGCCTCAGGAGTGTAACCAATGACCAGGTAAGCCTTCAAAAGGAGGCTAAAACTTTGTGGCTAGAAATTGAAGTCTATCACAAATGGTTAGGAAACAAGCTGCCTAAACGTGCTCCTCAAGGGTGTACGAGTACAGCAGGACAGATTCTTCAACTATTGATGGATACAGCTAAAAACATGGTCACTGAGGTGGAAAGTATGGATATTGGAAATCGAAATGATAATTCCAAATGCAAGTATATTTCGGCCAAATCAATGTATAGTATCACTGAAACCATCCTGCTTTCCTACCATGCCAACATCGACCAGGTTAGCCAAGAGGAACTATTTGAGAAGTTATCATCCATGATTACTAACATATTGGCTTCATGTCTCATCAACTTACCCCAAGTCATAGTGATGAAATGCCATACAAGTGCCATAGAGAAAAGGGAGGCAAGTGTTCATGCTGCAGCCCAACTTCTAGGTGAGACTATGAGGATAATCAATACCCTTCAAGATCGTGAACTTCAGAGATTGAATCCAGACAAGTTGCCATATATTGAAAAGTGGCCATGTTTATTTAAAGCATCATTTTTCTTTAAAAACCATTCCATTCTTCAAGTAACTACATAAGTTCATAAAGATTTGTTGCTCTCTGTTTCATAAGTAGCAGATCATGTACTTGTTTATTTTCTTTTATGTGTTGGTTTTAATATTCCCATGAAGCGTATATTTATTATTGAGCAATTATATATACAAATTACATGAGATAGGCCATAATACAAATGGGCCTATATACCTAAAGGGGCTATACAAATACACATAATACAATAATACAAATATATCCCGCTAACATCCAACATGTTTGGAAGCTCAAGAAGCAAATTACGAATTCAACATGTTTCTGCAACAATATTAGCCACACTTTGATACTCTACTTCGGCATTAGATCGAGAAGTCTTATTCTGCCGTTTGGAAAACCAAGACAACAAATTGTGTCCCACGAAAACACAATAACCTGATGTGAATCTGTGAGTAACGGGACAACCAACTATTAAACCCATATCTATCTGATATGGAAATTATCAATCTACAGCTTGATTTGTGGGGTTATAAGCAACCTATATCATAGACAATTCATCACCTAAAATCATGAGATTTGACTACCTAATTTCCTGTTGTAAAATATGTATATATAGTTGTCTATACTAGCTCTGTAAAGTGTGCCTTTTGAATACAGAACCCATACAACCTTTCTATGTAACTTTGCTCTGCAATAGTCTATCCTTTATATGGTATTAGAGCTTACTTGCTTTAACAAGCTCAAACGATCCAATGTCTACAAAAACCATCATTCAACTCACAACACCCACACACTTTCCCATCAAGCTTAACCAAACAAATTACTCTATTTGGCGTCGACAAGTCTCCTCAACCCTCATAGGTCTTGATCTCCTAGGGTTCATCGATGGTACTGTAGCTGTACCAGAAAAGTTTTTGGATCCCGAAAAATAAGAAACCAAACCCAGATCACATCCTTATCCAACCTAATATCTCCTCTGTCGAAACTGCCCTTGAAGCATGGCAACGACTCACAACCTTGTATGCCAACCCCTCCAGATCTCATGTCATCTCTCTCAAGAAGAAGCTAGTTGACAACCCCCGTGTAAACCGAACAATCCAAGCATACCTTCAAGATATGAAGCAAATAGCTGACAATCTTGCACTAGCCGTGAACCCTGTTGATGATGAAGATCTTGTCGTTCATGTCCTTCACAACATAGGAGATGAATTCAAGGAGATGGGGGCTGCCATCCAAGCTCGTGACTCCTCGATTTCTTTCTCTGAGCTTCAAAATAAACTCATCGACTTCGAGATTCACATGACAAAGAAACGAAAGAAGAGTCTATCGTCATTCCCAACATCAATTTCACTCATAAAGGCAGAAAGACATCTGGTAGGTACTCTAAAAATTCCTATCAAGACACAAGAAGAGGGAATCAGCATCAAGGAAGACCAAATTCTCAACCTTCCAACTCCAGAATCTCTTACAATCCTCAAGCTTTTTGCAACTTTTGTGACCCTGCTGGACATTTTACTAAAGAATGTCAACGTTTGTCTTGCTTTCTAAAAGATAATAACATTTCTCCTCATGCACACTTCGCTACAATGAACTCAAACAAATCCAATCCACGGATTTTCGATACAGGAGCCTCTCACCATGTCACTGGGCAAACAGATCACCTACACTCTTTCTCTGATTATGGCAGTCCTGAAGAAATAATTTTGGGCGATGGTTCAGGTCTCAAAATAACACACAATGGTCACACAACCTTAAACTCACCATCTCGTTTTTTTTTCATGTGAATGATATCCTATGTGTTCCTTCTTTAAACAAGAACTTAATTTATTTTGCAAAATTTTGTAAGATTAACAATGTTTCCATGGAATTTTTTCTGTGGCATTTGTTGGTGAAGGATCTTCGCACGGGGGCACAACTACTTCGAGGGGAAAACAAGAATGATCTTTACTGCTTCATGCCTTTAAGAAAACCTCAAATCAATAATATCGCCACAGATCTAGCAAATAAGTGGCATTTACACTTAGGACGTCCTGCTCCTCGCATACTACAATCTGTTTTAAACTCGTCTCACTTTAGTCCTAATAAAATTTCATGTTCTTCGTTAATCTGTCATTCTTGTCATTGTCATAAAAGTCATAAACTACCATTTGCAAACAGTTCTCTAACAAGCAATAAACCTTTCGAGCGTGTCTATATACTGATGTTTGGGGAACCACGGGCATCTCTATTGACAAATGTCTTTATTACGTAATCTTTGTCAATCATTTCTCCCGATATACATGGATTTACCCATTGAGAAAGAAATCTGACGTTGCCATCATTTTTCCACAATTTAAAACGTTAGTTGGACACCGTTTTCAACTTCCCTGATTACCTGTTTACTCGGATAATGGAGGGGAATACACATTCCTAAAAAATACTGTCACATCACATGGTATCTTACACCTTACTACACTTCCTCACACCCCGGAACACAATGGTATCTCAGAACGACGACACCGTCATCTCATGGAAACAACACTTACACTTCTTCATCATGCAAATTTGCCAACCACCTTCTGGTCTTATGCAGTTCAAACAACCACATATCTTATAAATCGACTCCCAACACCCATTTTAAATCATAAAACTCCTTTAGAACTCCTGTTCAAACAAAAACCAAACTATACACGACTCAAAATATTTGGTTGTTTATGTTACCCATGGCTTAAACCATATCCTCTAAACTCCAACCTAAATCTACATCCTGTATCTTCCTAGGGTACTCCACTTCTCAGTCCCTTATAAATGTTACGATCCTATCACACGTAAACTGTATATCTCCCAACATGTTAGATTTCTTGAGGACACATTTCCATGGAGGCATGCTAGTAATTATCAATCTATAACCCCTCAAGATGTTTATGCCCATGTGGAAGACTCTCACAACATGACCACTAGTGTGTCACCAAGTACACCTACTCCGTCTCCTATGCAGACCCTCCCACCAGAAACCACTATCACTCATAACTCCAACCACATCTATCACCAATCCCCACCTCGATCACCCACTCTCCAGAAAATTTATCCCGCACTCCTCAATCTACATATACTCCACCTCCACCATCACCACAATTTCCTTCACCATCCCCACAGGTTTCTTCCCCGCCTCCACCTCGTCAAAGAAAACCCAATCCTAAGTACTTCAATGATATTTATCTCAACACAACATCAAATCACCCCTACCCGAGACTCTTGAACCATCATGTGTCACCCAAGCCCTTAAAATACCTCAATGGCATGATGCCATGTCTACAAAGTTTAATGCACTCGCTAAACAACGCAACAAAATCCACTGAAGCATTTCCTAGGCCTTCCTAGGTTTCCGACCTCACCCTGCCATCAGCTGCTGATGAACTCCCCATAATGTCAGTTAGCTACCTCATGAATACAATGACATGCAACACAACTTAGATAATCCTTCGAGTAAAAGACTCATCCCTACAACGGTTAGACTCAAACGAGAGCTACACAATAGGGTCAAATCTATCACTGTGAGATTATTCAACCTTTATTACATGTGACTTAACATATTCACTTAATAGCTAACTCGCATCACTTAAGAGTCCCACAAAGCATAAAGCAAGCAATAATCGTGCAGTAGCACTCCGATCCATAGAATAACCAAAGAACATTCAAACTCACATACTACAACTCATGCTAGGAACTTCCACTCTCACT